CTCTTCCAAACTATTATTTTTAACATATTATTCATAACATGTTAAAATTTCTCTCTTATCAAACTGCATGTAGGCAAAAAAGTTATATAAACTATCTTCTAATGTATTCATTACAATTGTATATTACAGACGTACTCGGTGGCCTTGATCTAAGTGCCATCGATTTTATATTAATATGCAATCATGTCTACTTGTGCTGACAGTAGAATATTTATGAGAACTAAAATATGCGGTTATAAACCATTCTAAGCACTTTAGTCATATCTGTATGCTTTATTTTTTTATTATATATATCATAACAATTGTGACAAATTCGTCTTACAATAATATATTAAAGTTTTATCTCTCAACATTTCTGCGATTTTATTTTCCAATTCTAAAATAAATTTAAATTATTGATTAATTCTCATTAGTAGATCTCTTTAAATATTCTTTAGTCTTTTTTTAATTAGTCTATCTTTTTTTTAAAATCAATGTGTCAATCTCTGAAAATCGAATCAGAGAAATCTTTTAATTGTATGACAGATATATATTTATTTTTACCTTATAAATTAATTAATAAATTTATTTTTGTCATTACTTTAAAGAAAGAAAGAAAATTCACACGTTTTTAATTATTTTCTACGTAAATGCTTTAGCTTAAAAGCTAAATCATTTAAATTTATTTTTCAAGCGTATATTTTACCTGTTTTCCTCTAATTCCTAGACATACAAATGCTGATTCCAAGCAGATGTATATTCTTTCACGAGACCACGTGTTCATCGCCGAATCTCACGCCTCGACAAGCAAAATATACGTTATACCAAAATTGTATAGAAAAAAGAAATTATTTTAATGTATTATCCTTAGTAACTCATTTCTTTAAACGAGAAAATTGAATGCAGATTTACTTAATTTACTTAAAAATCTTTCTAAAACTTTCATTCGGATTCTAATAATTTTTTTAGGGCAAGCCTCTTGAAGATAAATAAAATTAAAAAAAAGTTTATCTTTATTGAACATAAGGAAAAAAAAAGGCTTTTATACAATTGATCTTAACATTCTGATTTGACATTTAGTTTAGGTGTGTTAACATTCTGAGAACTTGACGAGTTACCACGGTGAATATTGCGATCGCAATGAATTAAGATATCTTACTTAATAAATATATTGATATATCTGTAACGAAAATTACTTACATTACTTATATTTCAGATGACGATAAGCCAACGCCAGGTAGGAACATCTTCTTCCATGAGACTTCCTGTTTCGGCGGAGAGGGCCTCACGTTGAACCCCCGACAGGCCTGTGCCGTGGAGTCGGCGGCGCGGATGAATCCGTCAATGACCGTGTACCTGCTATTCGTCAGCAAGTCTGAGTTCTCGAACA